CTCAGACCACAGTGGAATGAAGCTGGAAATTAGCAACTCAGGAAACCCTAGAAAGTATGCAAACACATGGAGACTGAACAAATGCTCCTGAATGAACACTGGGTCATTCAAGAAATCAAAAGAGAAATCAAAAACTTTCTGGAAGTAAATGAGGATAACAACACAACATATCAAAACTTATGGGATACAGCAAAAGCAGTATTGAGAGGCAAATTTATAGCAATAGGTGCCTATATCAAGAAATTGGAAAGGTACCAAATAGATGAGCTTTCAGCGCATCTCAAGGACCTAGAAAAACTGCAGCAAACCAAACCCAAATCTAGTGGGAGAAGAGAAATAATTAAAATCAGAGAAGAAATTAACAGGATTGAATCCAAAAAAAAAAAAAAAAAAAAACTACAAAAAATCAGCCAAGCGAGAAGCTGGTTTTTTGAAAAAATAAACAAAATTGACACCCCATTGGCCCAACTAACTAAAAAAAGAAGAGAAAAGACCCAGATCAATAAAATCAGAGATGAAAAAGGAAACGTAACAACAGATACCACAGAAATAAAAAGAATCATCAGAAATTACTACAAGGACTTGTATGCCAGCAAACAGGAAAATCTATCAGAAATGGATAGATTCCTGGACACATGCAACCTACCTAAATTGAACCATGAAGACATAGAAAACCTAAATAGACCCATAACTGAAACAGAAATTGAAATAGTAATAAAGGCCCTCCCAACAAAGAAAAGCCCAGGACCAGATGGATTCACTGCTGAATTCTACCAGACATTTAAACAAGAACTGACTCCAATTCTTCTCAAACTATTCAGAACAATCGAAAAAGAGGGAATCCTCCCAAATTCTTTCTATGAAGCCAGCATCACCTTAATCCCTAAGCCAGAGAAAGACGCAGCACTGAAAGAGAATTACAGACCAATATCCCTGATGAACATAGATGCAAAAATCCTCAATAAAATTCTCGCCAATAGAATACAACAACACATCAGAAAAATCATCCACCCAGACCAAGTGGGATTCATCCCTGGTATGCAGGGATGGTTCAACATTCGCAAATCAATCAATGTGATTCACCACATTAACAGACTGCAAAAGAAAAACCATATGATTATCTCAAGAGATGCAGAGAAAGCATTCGATAAAATTCAACACCCTTTCATGATGAAAACTCTAAGCAAATTGGGTATAGTAGGAGCATTCCTCAATATAATCAAAGCAATTTATGAAAAACCCACGGCCAGCATCCTATTGAATGGGGAAAAGTTCGAAGCATTTCCACTGAGATCTGGTACCAGACAGGGATGCCCACTCTCACCACTGCTATTTAACATAGTTCTGGAAGTTTTAGCCAGAGCCATCAGAAAAGAAAAAGAAATTAAAGGAATACAAATTGAGAAGGAAGAAGTCAAACTATCCCTCTTTGCAGACGATATGATTCTGTACTTAGAGGATCCAAAGAACTCTACTAAGAGACTATTGGAACTCATAGAGGAGTTTGGCAAAGTGGCAGGATGTAAAATCAATGCACAAAAATCAACAGCCTTTGTATACACAAGCAATGCCACGGCTGAGAAAGAGCTGCTAAGATCAACCCCATTCACAATAGCCACAAAAACAATCAAATACCTTGGAATAAACTTAACCAAGGACGTTAAAGATCTCTACGATGAGAATTACAAAATCTTAAAGAAAGAAATAGAAGAGGATACCAAAAAATGGAAAAATCTTCCATGCTCATGGATTGGAAGAATCAACATCATCAAAATGTCCATTCTCCCAAAAGCAATTTATAGATTCAATGCAATCCCAATCAGGATACCAAAGACATTCTTCTCAGATATAGAAAAAATGATGCTGAAATTCATATGGAGGCACAAGAGACCTCGAATAGCTAAGCAATCCTGTACAACAAAAACAAAGCCGGAGACATCTCAATACCAGATTTCAGGACATATTACAGGGCAGTTGTAATCAAAACAGTATGGTACTGGTACAGAAACAGAACAGATGGATAGACCAATGGAACAGAATTGAAACACCAGAAATCAACCCAAACATCTACAGCCAACTTATATTTGATCAAGGATCTAAAACCAATTCCTGGAGCAAGGACAGTCTATTCAATAAATGGTGCTGGGAAAATTGGATTTCCACGTGCAGAAGCATGAAGCAAGACCTTACACCTTACACAAAAATCCACTCAACATGGATTAAAGACCTAAATCTACGACCTGACACCATCAAGTTATTAGAGAACATTGGAGAAACCTTTCAAGATATTGGCACAGGCAAAGAGTTTCTAGAAAAGACCCAGGAGGCACAGGCAGTCAATGCCAAAATCAACTATTGGGATTGCATCAAATTGAGAAGTTTCTGTACTGCAAAAGAAACAGTCAGGAGAGTGAAGAGACAACCGACAGAATGGGAAAAAATATTTGCAAACTATGCAACAGATCAAGGGTTAATAACCAGAATCTACAAAGAGATCAAGAAACGCCACAAAAACAAAACAAACAACCCACTTAAGAGATGGGCCAAGGACCTCAATAGACATTTATCAAAAGAGGACATCCAAATGGCCAACAGGCACATGAAAAAATGTTCAAGGTCACTAGCACTCAGGGAAATGCAAATCAAAACCACAATGAGGTTTCACCTCACCCCGGTTAGAATGGCTCACATACAGAAATCTACCAACAACAGATGCTGGCGAGGATGTGGGGGAATAGGGACACTAACCCACTGTTGGTGGGAATGCAAACTGGTCAAGCCACTATGGAAGTCAGTCTGGAGATTCCTCAGAAACCTGAAGATAACCCTACTGTTCGACCCAGCCATCCCACGCCTTGGAATTTACCCAAAGGAATTTAAATTGGCAAACATAAAAGCGGTCTGCACCCTAATGTTTATTGCAGCACAATTCACAATAGCCAAGACCTGGAACCAACCTAAATGCCCATCAACGGTAGACTGGATAAAGAAATTATGGCATATGTACTCTTTAGAATACTATACCGCAGTAAGAAACAACGAAATCCAGTCATTTGCAACAAAATGGAGGAATCTGGAACACATCCTGCTGAGTGAAATAAGCCAGTCCCAAAGGGACAAATACCATATGTTCTCCCTGATCGGTGACAACTGACTGAACACCAAAAAGGAAACCTGTTGAAGTGAAATGGACACTATGAGAAACGGTGACTTGATCAGCATAGCCCTGACTATTTATGAACAACTTAATACATTATCCCTCTTACTAGTTTTTTTTTGTCTGTTCTACTTAATATGACTGGTTTAATTCTGTAATTAATACACAGTTATTCTTAAGTGTTGAAATTTAACTGAAATGTGATCCCTGTTAAACATAAGAGTGGGAATAAGAGAGGGAAGAGATGTACACTTTGGGACATGCTCAGGCTGACTTGCCCCAAATGGTAGAGTTAGAAACATACCAGGGGACTCCAATTCAATCCCATCAAGGTGGCATGTACCAATGCCATCTCACTAGTCCAAGTGATCAATTTCAGTTCACAATTGATCATAATGAAAGGACTAAGAGTCAAAGGGAGCACATAAACAAGTCTAGTACCTGCTAATACTAACCGATAGAATAAATAAAGGGGAGAGTGATCCAACATGGGAAGCGAGATACTCAGCAGACTCATAGAATGGCGGATGTCCTAAACAGCACTCTAGCCTCAGAATCAGCCCTAAAGGCATTCCGATCTGGCTGAAAAGCCCATGAGAGTATTTCAGGCATGGAAAGCCAAGACACTCTGGCAAAAAAAAAAAAAAAAAAAAAAAAAAAAAAAAAAAAAAAAACCTAAATGAAAGATCTCTGTGAGTGAGATCCCAGTGGAAAGAACAGGTCTTCAAAGAAGGAGGTACCTTTCTCTGAAGGGAGGAGAGAACCTCCACTTTGACTATGACCTTGTCTAAATAAGATAAGAGTCGGAGAACTCAAAAGGCTTCCATAGCCTTGGAATCTCATGACTGGAGCATAGGGAGATTACTGACAACACTGGGAATAGAATATCTGCAAGTGAAACTTCAAATTTAGAAAACAAATCAAAAAACAAATGTATAATGTTTGCTAAAAACCATTCTATTTATTTGCAATAAATTTGCTTTCAACAGAACAGTAGGACATGCCTGCAATTTGGTTTATAGACGAGTGCCTTAGAACAAAGGGCTCTATAAAAGTTTTTTAGGAAGCATTTTTATTACTGTTGTACAAGCTCCACACAGAGATGTCAGACAGACCTACGATCAGGGAGAAATGCACATATTTTCCACTTACAAAGGGGTTACACCCTGACAAACCTGTTAAGTTGAAAAGATCATTAAATTGAAAATGCATTTAATAACACCCAACCTACCAAAAATCACAGCTTTGCCTAGCCCACCTCAAGCATGCTCATAACACTTAAAAGTGCCCTATGGCCTACAGCAGGGGGCAGGGAGGGGACAGAAGAGCACCATCTAGCACAAAGCCTATTTTATAATAAAGCACTGTCTCATGCAATTTATTAACTGTACTGGAAGTGAAACAAAAATTATTGTATGGGTATACATTTAGGCCACTGTAAGTAAAAAAATCCTGAGTTAAACTATCTACATCCAAACAGACAAGTTTCTCATTGATAACAGTCATTATGTCACTATGCCTGTACCCATGATTCAATTACTGGATTGAAATCCACTCAGTTTTGTATCTGGATAGAAAAGCCAATCCCAAACATAAGATTTTATCAGCTACCATCCTGATCACATTGTAGCCACTATGGGTGGTGAGATAGGCACACATGTCCTGTTCTACTGTGTACCCTTCACTTCTCAAGACACAAGCTGGGGGAGGCTGGGTAGGAAAGACTAAGCAGAGTGCTGGTTCTATTTACTTTAATTAATGCATAGCGATGCACAGATTTGTGATGTATGAATGACAGGAATAATCCAACATTACAGTGGTTAGAGACAAAATTAATACTTACTTTCACTGGCAAACCCACTAGTGGCTGTCGCCTGCATCACCTCTCTTCTGTAATCTCTATCTTTCGGGAAGCTATTAACTGCCATCTTGTTTGCTTCTTTTTGTCTCTGTTCTCTAAAAATAGAAAATAGATAAGCTCATAAAAATCACATCAAGGACATGGGTACCCATAATAGCTCCTGCCAAATATTCAAACAGTATATACAAAATCAAAGAACTGAATATGGTCTATAATTTATCTGGTATGGAGGTAAGCACACAGAACACTAATGTTTCTTCGTGATGGCAAAAGTATACCAATTATTTAAACCACTAACGCCACAGACAACTTCACAGTATTAATTCTACATATGTAAAAGACATGAGCATGATTGTCCCATAAGCTCTACAAACTTGTATTATAAATTATAACAGAAATGCACAAATGGAGATTAATAATGTAAGCATTTTATTAAATATACTAACTGCTCATAAGAACCTTATGGGCAGCTGCTCTCCTACATGTTAAGACAAATTATAGAAAACACAGTAAACAGGTCAACAACTGCAATTAAAAGAGTGATGATGTCTCGATAAAGAATCTAAAATTCAAATGCATAACACCATAAAATATAACTTGTAGAATCAAGAATGGTAAATATAGCTCAACTAGATTAAAAGCAAATACCTTTCAAAAAAAAAAAAAAAGCAAATACCTTTCAAGCCACTCTTTTGGTTTTTCCCATTGTGAAACTTCTGTTCGACAGTTGTAGTAGTATTTTTTCCCAGAAGAGCTAATATGCTCAGACCAGTCATCTGCAGAATCATAAGGCTTAAAGATAATTTTAAACATGAGAAAATTTTATTACTTAATAACCTGATAGCATCAATGATTTCCAAAGCATATACACGGAAACAAAAGCATACATATGAGACCAAAGCGCCTTACTCTGTACTGCTAATTATCTGAGTGCATATAGCAGTAGACTGGAAATCTTCATAAATCACAGAAAACCTTAAAAAAATCAAAAAAGGAAAAACACAGAAGCCCTCAATCACCATGGCTGAAATACGACACCATGGTGACGGGGAGGAGAAATAACTGCCAAGTGACTAATAAAGCATGAGACCCTCAGTTCTAACTGCAGCACGCTAGTGGTCACACACAGTGCAACAGAGAACAGTCTGCCTGTAGGTACTGCAACACAGTGGAAAAGGGAACCAACATTTAAAAAATATAGACAAAAAGTCAGCTGAAAGTTCTTTGTAAAATCCATGAGATGAGTCAAGCATTAAGTATGACCCCCTGGTCTCATGTAATCATGACCAGCAGTATCACTCATTTTCCCACAACCAGAGCTGGTCTTCCGGATATTCTCACTTGTAGTCTCTTGCAGGTATCTTAGAGGAAATGTAACAATCACAATGACGGTAGAAAAATCTGAGAAGTCTAAGCTAAGTGTCTGCACTGAGCACAGGAAATGCAGTAAAATGTCAAATATTCTTCTAGTTGAGAGCCTTAACTATTTTTTAAAATATTTATTTGAAAGGCAGAGTTACAGAGAGGCAGAGAGAGAGAGGAGACAGAGGTCTTCCATTCTCTGGTTCACTTCCCAGATGGCCACAATGGCCGGAGCTGCACCAATCTGAATGCAGAAGCCAGGAGCTTCTTCCTGGTTGCCCATGCAGGTGCAGGGGCCCAAGGACTTGGGCCACCTTCTACTGCTTTTCCAGGCCACAGCAGAGAGCTGGATCAGAACCGGCACCCATATGGGATGCCGGCACTACAGGTGGTGGCTTTACTCACTATGTGAGCCCCGACTTTAACTATTTTTTCTAAGAGGTATGAGATTAAAATGAATAATGTTATACTATGGTAGCCTAACCTTCTGGGTTTGCCAAAGTGTATAATGACACAGTTTTATTTATTTTGAAATTTTTACTTGTTTGAGAGTCATAGAGACTGAAAGAGACAGATTTGGTCCATCTGCTGGTTCACTTCTCAAATGCCTGCATGAGCTCTGCCCAGGGACAAAGCTGTGAGCCAGGAACTTAATCCAGGTCTCCCACATGGGCAGCAGGATCTCACCAACTTGAGCTATCACCGTTGCTTCCCAGGTCTGTATCCGCATGAAAAAGTCAGGAGCCAGAGGCAGGTGTTAAACCCTTGGACTTTGTACATGGGATGCAGCAATGTGGCTGCCAAGCTACAGGCCCGCTCAGTGATACAATTTTGAAGCTTGAGAAATCAACTTCTACTGAATGCCTTGCCCTACCCAGTTTAATATTACCAGTTAGGAAACATGCTGAGAGAACTTAATGAGTTGTGCATAGGTCAGAAAACTAATTAGTGGTATATAAAAGGATCAAAATTCTGATTTCTGAATGCCAATTATTTCCATTAAATAGACATCAATTCTGGAAATGCTTTAAAAATTTTGAGAACAGTTGGAGAAATGCTGCAGACTCTGCCATAAGTTTATATTCTGCAGTTTACATCTCAAAATAAGGAAAATATTGGACTTCAGCCCTGTGCTTCCAAGTCTCTAAAAGCAGTGGGGAGTTAATTTTCAATCATGAGCAGCTAGAAATAAGCTATGACAATGTTAGCAGGCCAGTCACAGATGCCGAATTCATAAAGTTCTCCATCACTCACTTCTCCCTGTAGGTAAATTACACAAAATCACCCTCCTCTTATAGATGTTGTCAACAGATTTGCTCTGCTTGGTTACATGGGGTTCCCGGATAGGCCAAAGGGGTGGAAAGTGGGATCTGAAGCTAGCAGACAGAAGATATGGGTAGCAGAGGGGAGACCAGCGTGATCTAGAGCAGCGCTCTGCAAACTGCCCAAGCGCAGCCCTGCACCTTTCCTAGGGGAGACAGAGTTAGCACCACAACACACACACACACACACACACACAAGCACGCACTCATGCCTCTCTCACCAGGAATCTCCTTAAGATTCTGCTGCAACCTCCTGACAGTTACTAACTGACAGACCAGAGCCTGCAGAACCCTGGACTGTGACACTATGTGGATTTGCCCATCAAATCTTAAGTCAGCACGTGCTAATGTCTTAAAGCATGTTCCAAGGTATAGCATTACAGCCAAATACCAGTAACTTCTGCCTATCTTCTCCCAACTTCCGTCCTCAAGGAGTTAGGAAAGAAAATCAAGTAATGGAATAATTTTTAAGATACTAATGTGCAACAGATGTCAATTTTTTTTTTACTAAAGGAATCAAATTGAAAATCAAACACAAGGACTATAGCCATTTCAAGTATTCTAAATTAGGCTTGAGATGATTGCCAGCACAGGTGCTAAGTAAGTTCAGAGTGTTACCCAAGAATCCTTAGGGAACTTGGAGGGCCGTTCACAGATCGAGACTGTTTTCACAGAAGACCAAGATGACTTTGTCTCTTCATGTACCACAAGCATACAGGGAGTTTATTAAGAGCTGTCCAGGACATCTGTTTTCACAAAAGATTGGATACAGAAGCAGATAGGAAATTCTAAATGTCATCTACTAAGTCAGGCACTAAAGAGAAGCTTGATGTCTTTTTGTTCTAAAATTTGTTCATACAGATACGCCCATATCAATGTCTAACAGTTTTATGATTGCCATTTTAAGTAAATGATTTTAATCTTTTAAGTTTATGATTTTAAAGATTTTACTCTGATGGGACACAGAGCATGCGCCAAGCAGCTGGTTCATTCCACAAAGGCCTGCAGCAGATGGGAACTCCACTTAAATCTCCCATGCAGGGTGGCAGGAGACCAACCATTCGAGCCATCGACTGATACCTTCAGAGCATGCAGCAGTGGGAAGCTTCAATGTAGAGTGGAGCCAAGACTTGAACCCATGGGAGTTAGCAGGAAACTACATGTTCCTATCTTAATCTAATGCTAGGGGGAGGGAAAAGTTCCCAATATGTGATACAGGCATTCTGATCAGCATCTTAAGTCAGATCAACTATCGCTCAGTTTTAATTTTTAAAAAAAAAGACTGATTCATTTAAGAGGTAGAGTTACAGATAGACAGGGAGAGACAGAAAGGTCTTCCATCTGCTGGTTCATTCCCAGATGGAAGCCAGGAGCTTCTCCCAGGTCTCTTGGGTGCAGGGGACCAAGCACTTGGGCCATCTTCTACTGCTATCCCAGGCCACAGCAGAGAGCTGGACTGGAAGAGGAGCAGTTGGGACATGAACGGGAGCCCATATGGGATGTCGACATTGCAGGTGGAGGCTTAGCCCTGTATGCCACAGCACCTGCTCAGTTTTAATTTCTAATATGATAACTGCTGATGACAGATCACATAAACAACAGCTTTCAGTTTTTCCAGAAGAAAATGGCTCCTGATTTTGGTTTGGTTCAGCACCAGCTGCTGCTGCAGCAATCTAGGGGAGTGAACCAGCAGGTGAAAATCTGTCTCCCTCTTTCAAACCAATCAATCAATCCTTTATTTATGTAAATTAACAGACTGTTTTCCATGAATAAAGAAGATTCACACGGTTTGCTGGTAGCACCTGCCAAAGTCCCTCAGCTTCAATCCCATCTCAAGTCTGCTCTGCAATGCTGATGTTAGTCCAAGTGCTAGAACAATGCAAATCACTTCCTCCCAGAAACACCAGAAGATGAAGCCGTAGTGGGTTCTGGTCTCCAGCTCGCCAGCGCAGTCCACCACATGAACTAGCTTCAGAGGCACTGTCTCCAGCTCTGTGGGTGCCTCCTCACCATCAGGTTCCGAATTTCTAAACTTCCTGCTATTGTACCACAGCCCTCTTGGTTTTTTCCTCTTTTATCCCCCCTCCCAACTTTTAATACCTATCATATCTGCTTACCAGTATATTAAGTTCTGTGTTAAAACACCCTACTGTAATTATTTTTCCTAACTGACCCCAGCCTAACACTCAAAACTATTCTAGGTTTATGTGTACCTTAATATCCTTTTTTTCTATCCACACTACTTCAGTAAGAGAAAAAAAAAATGAAAGGTCTTGCCGTGCCAATTAAGGTATAAAAATCACTCAAACACCCAAGCAAAACCTGCACCTTCGATGGTTTTCTGTCAGATTGTTGCTTCTTTCCTATACCTTCCCACATTGCTACCTCAGATGACTTTCTGATTATAATTATGATACTGCTTTACTGATTAGATCCTTCAATAACTTTCTACTGCCTTTGTACATAATTTGTATTCCTTGCCAAGACAGACATTTTACCATCTAAACTACACTTATCCCTAATCTTAGGCTCCTGCCATTTTTCCACAGCATCAAATCCTCCCGGTTCTTCAAACATGCCGTGCCATCTCATAGTTCCATGTTATTCTTATTCCTCTGTATGCTACACAATGTTCCACCTATTCTACTGGCTAAGCCCTATTTAAACCTGTTAAGAAGTGTTACTTACAGTTTCTATCTTCTTCATCTAAGCTGTGGGTCTTTATCCTGAGTGCCCTCCAGAGCAACTTTAACAAACACTGTGTTTTTTACTTTTCTATCTCCCCAAGTCTAAAAGTTCCTTGAAATGTGGTACTTCCCAGTGTTGTGGCTCAGCGGTTTAAGTCACTGCTTGCAGCGTCAGCATCCTATACGAGTGCCAGTTAGAGTCCCCACTGTTCCATTTCTGATCCAGCTTCCTAATAAAGCAGGTGGGAAAGCAGTGGAAGATACCTCGCAAGTACTTGGGACCCCACCACCCACGAAGGAAACCTGGGTGGAATCCCAGGCTCTTGGTTTCAGCCTTGTCCAGCCTCAGCTGTGACAGCCATTTAGGGGAGTGAATCAGTGGATGGAAGATCTCTCCGCCCCTTTCTGTAACTCTGCATTTCAAATAAACAAGCTTTTGTATTAAACATTTCTTAAAATTAGATGGGTCACATTATCTTGATTCTGTAGGCTTACATTCTAGCATATACCTAGTAAAATGAAATTTAAATTATTTCTGGTTAAATGAATACATTAGAAATCTGTGTTTAATCTGGACACTGAATAGAAAAATCCAAACTGAGTAGCAGTTACTTCAGTCTTAAAACACTTTATTATTTTTTTCTTAAAACACTTTAACCATGGAAGTTTCATCTGAAGTTCTTTACAACTCACATATTGCAAAGACAAAACTCTGCTTAAGGTAATGCCAAGATGGTATTTCCTGACTGTCCTCATTCTACTAACACCTGTAAAGTTTACTCACTACTTTAAAAGAGTGTTATTATTGTTGCAAATAAATACATGAAGAAAACATCAATTTTGGTTAGAACATAAGAACAGACTGGATATAAGGAGCTTTGCCATCAGATTTTTGTAATGAATTCCAAAAGATAAAATTGGGCGTGTGTATTAATACTTACTGCATCTGAAGTTTTGCTTGGATTATTGCTTGGATTAGAAGAATGTGAATTTGAACTATGAAGAGCACTGTGGTTGTGTGAATTTTCTTGTGGAGAGTAACTGGTCCCTTTAAAAAATAAAGAGGAAAGTGAATTCCAGGTAAATTGTATTCCATCTGATTTTTATCATACTACAGACCATTATTACACTTCAGTATCAGGAATACAGTTTTATAATACACAAAAAATCTGAGTCTACTATAGATGCAGCTTATTATACTACATAGCTGATAACCTATGGAACAACGAAGTTTAATTAGATGAGCAGGATACAAAGTCCTGTGTAATTTCTAGAAAAACTTTTTAAAGAGAAGTTTCACTGGAAAAACAATGCGCAGAGTATAAAAGTCCCAATGACCCAATACTGAAAGTCACTACTAGCAGTATGTTTTCCAACTATATACTTCCATCTCTTCAGTTTCTGCACCTCACTTTTTAATAGTCAATTTTTCACTGAAACAGCATCAAGCTTTCAAAAAGGTTCACAAAGAAAAGTCTCAAAGTCCAATCTTGCAAAAATACTTTGGTTAATGATATAAAAAGGTTCCCTACAAAGCCTAATGTTAGTATTTCAATTTCACTCCACATACCTAGGGACCTTCAGCAACAATTCAACTGGTACTTGGAAAGAAGGAAGGAAAGCTGGCAATGGTATGGGGGTTGGTTACACTTATAAACAAAACTGAAAGCAGCAGAGTAACTTAAATGGTCTAGTCATTTAGGAATTAGCAGCCAGAACCAGGTAAGACCAGAAATTAGTATGAATTATTTCAATTAACAGGAAAAACTAAACGGTAAGAGGGAATGTATACTTAGAGATTATGACTATAGAAGTTTCAGATTATCCAAGTGGAAATGGTCAACAGATCTATGTAAAACTAGGAATCCAAGAGAAAGGTAGCACACAGTTGTGAATTTGGAAGTATTTTTCCATTAGACATCAATGGTATTAGACTGACTTTGGCATGCATACAATACACATTCGTGGATGAAATAATAGGATAACAATGGTCAAGGTTTAAGACTGCAAGGGAGGGGCCGGCGCCATGGCTCACTTGGTTAATCCTCCACCTGTGGCACCAGCATCCCATATGGGCACCGGGTTCTAGCCCCGGCTGCTTCTCTTCCATGCCAGCTCTCTGCTGTGGCCTGGGAAGGCAGTGGAGGATGGCCCAAGTGCTTGGGCCCTGCACCCGCATGGGAGACCAGGAAGAAGCACCTGGCTCCTGGCTTTGGATCAGCACAGCACCGGCCATAGCGGCCATTTGGGGAGTGAACCAATGGAAGACCTTTCTGTCTAACTCTGTCAAAAAAGACTGCAAGGGAAGCTATATGCAGACTCCAAGACCCAAAAGCCTACTGATGTCATTAACATGGTTACTAACAGGTAATGCAAATATTACAAAAAATAAAGTCCCCAAGAAGCTTGATGCTAGGAGATACCCGATGTTTCTTCTACTTATCTTGTTATATTGTATTAACTTATTTTATAAAAAAGTAATAGCTTTAATACAACAGGAAATAAGTAGATCCTTCAATAAATGCCAGTAAGAATGAACACGATCAAGAAGAAATCAGTTAAGGCTCAGTGGTTAAGAAGTCAGTTGGAATGTAATCATCTCAGAGTCAAGTGCCTGGGTTTCAGTCCTAGCTGTTTGAGTCCAGCTTCCAGCTAATGCACAGAGTACAAGACTGGGTCCCTGGCACCTACATGAGGGACTGGAACTGGGTTCCCAGCTCTTTTGTGGCTCAGCTCCAGCAACCGCAAACATTTAGGGAAGTAAACCAGCAGGTGGCTGCCGCTTCTCTCATTGCCTCTAAAGTTAACTGATTTTTTGATAAGTACCATCAGTCAAAAATAAGTTCAGTGTGCAGGAAAGCTAACAGAGCAGACCTCACACTGCTACCTTACCAAGGCCGGCTTGTGTGGCGTGGCCTCAGCAGGCGTGGAATTTCAGAAGAGTTCTCAGATCTCTAACTGCTCGCTGTTGCTATGCTGGCTGAACACCTGATATCCAATTCTACATTTGGAATTGTGGTACATGTTAAGCAGAGTATACTTATCTAAGTGGCCAAATTCAAATCTTGGGCACTCACTCTAATGAGATTTTCCGTATACAACATTTCATAAGAGTTGTCACTATTTGTTTGAAGAAGAATCAAGTCAGACACAGTTGGTTTCAGTCCAGCGAGGGGGAGGGGGGGATGGGGAGGGGAGTGCTGCACCCTGATTCTTCCACTTTGTCTCATCCCTTTTGTTTTGCACCCTCATTCGTAGCAGTTAAATCACAGCTGTGACAGTGACTATATACACCACCTCAGACCGAGTCTTTGAGAATCACTAAACCTGGGGGTAGGCTTAGGACCCTCAAATGACAACAAAGAAAAATAACCCAATTTTTTTTTTCAATTGCCCAAATTTCCATCTTTTTTTTTTATCTTTTATTTAATGAATATAAATTTCCAAAGTACGACTCATGTGTTACAATGGCTTCCCCCCCCATACCGTCCCTCCCACCCACAACCCTCCCCTTTCCCACTCCCTCTCCCCTTCCATTCACATCAAGATTCATTTTCGATTATCTTAATATACAGAAGATCAGCTTAGTATACCTTAAGTAAGTATTTCAACAGTTTGCTCCCACACAGAAACATAAAGTGAAAAATAATAGATGATTTTTTTAAATGATGATGAAATCAGATCAGACCTATTGTCATGTTTAATCCCAGTGAGAGACAAGTTGGGAATTGATAATTTCTTTCTTTTTTTTTTTTTTTACAGAAGATCAGTTTAGTGTACATTAAGTAAAGATTTCAGTCGTTTGCACCCCCATAGAAACACAAAGTGAAATATACTGTTTGAGTACTCGTTATAGCATTAAGCCTCAGTGTACAGCACGTTAAGGACAGAGATCCTACATGAGGAGTAAGTGCACAGTGACTCCTGTTGTTGACTTTACCAATTGACACTCCTGTTTATGGCATCAGTAATCTCCCTATGCACCAGTTATGAGTTTCCAAGGCTATGGAAGCCCCTTGAGTTCTCCGACTCTTATCTTGTTTAGACACGGTCATAGTCAAAGTGGAGGTTCTCTCCTCCCTTCAGAGAAAGGCACCTCCCTCTTTGAAGACCTGTTCTTTCCACTGGGATCTCACTCACAGAGATCTTTTTGCCAGAGTGTCTTGGCTTTCCATGCCTGAAATACTCTCATGGGCTTTTCAGCCAGATCCGAGTGCCTTTAGGGCTGATTCTGAGGCCAGAGTGCTATTTAGGACATCTGCCATTCTATGAGTCTGCTGAGTATCTCACTTCCCATGTTGGATCACTCTCCCCTTTATTTATTCTATCGGTTGGTGTTAGCAGATACTAGACTTCTTTATGTGCTCCCTTTGACTCTTAGTCCTTTCATTATGATCAATTGTGAACTGAAATTGATCACTTGGAGTAGTGAGATGGCATTGGCACATGCCACCTTGATGGGATTGAATTGGAATCCCCTGGTATGTTTCCAACTCTACCAATTGGGGCAAGTCAGCCCGAGCATGCCCCAAATTATACATCTCTTCCCTCTCTTATTCCCACTCTTATGTTTAACAGGGATCACATTTCAGTTAATTTTCAACACTTAAGAATAACTGTGTATTAATTACAGAATTAAACCAGTCATATTAAGTAGAACAGACAAAAAAAAATACTATGAGGGATAATGTATTAAGTTGTCCATTAGCAGTCAGGGCTATGCTGATCAAGTCACCATTTCTCATAGTGTCCATTTCACTTCAGGAGGTTTCCTTTTTGGTGTTCAGTCAGTTGTCACCGATCAGGGAGAACATATGGTATTTGTCCCTTTGGGACTGGCTTACTTCACTCAGCATGATGTGTTCCAGATTCCTCCATTTTGTTGCAAATGACTGGATTTCGTTGTTTCTTACTGCGGTATAGTACTCTAAAGAATACATATCCCATAATTTCTTTATCCAGTCTACCGTTGATGGGCATTTAGGTTGGTTCCAGGTCTTGGCTATTGTGAATTGTGCTGCAATAAACATTAGTGTGCAGACCGCTTTTTTGTTTATCAATTTAAACTCCTTTGGGTAAATTCCAAGGAGTGGGATGGCTGGGTCGAATGGTAGGGCTATCTTCAGGTTTCTGAGGAATCTCCAGACTGACTTCCATAGTGGCTTGACCAGTTTGCATTCCCACCAACAGTGGGTTAGTGTCCCTTTTTCCCCACATCCTCGCCAGCATCTGTTGTTGGTAGATTTCTGTATGTGAGCCATTCTAACCGGGGTGAGGTGAAACCTCATTGTGGTTTTGATTTGCATTTCCCTGAGTGCTAGTGACCTTGAACATTTTTTCATGTGCCTGTTGGCCATTTGGATTTCCTCTTTTGAAAAATGTCTATTGAAGTCCTTGGCCCATCTTTTAAGTGAATAACCCAATTTTTAAAGAAAGTCGTAGACCTATGATACAATTTCTACTTTTCAGGCATAAAAAATATTTTACAGATTCACAACTAAATTACAGATAAGAAAAAACTAGTAATATGACCACTAGAAGATGAATTTATGCACAACTCAAAGCAATGAGATAAATTTCAGTGTGCTGACAATAAGAAAAAGCCAATTTTATTGAATGACATGAACCCCATTAAGTAGCTCAAATGGGGCCAGCACTGTGGCATAGCAGGTACAGTCACTTCCTGCAGCACGAGCATCCCACATGGACACCAGTTTGAGTCCTGGCTGCTCCATTTTTGATCCAACTCTCTACTATGGCCTGGGAAAGCACCAGAAGATGGCCCAAGTCCTCGGGCCACTGCACCTGTGTGGGAAAGCCAGGAGAAGCTCCTGGCTCCTCATGGGCCTAGCTCTGGCCATTGTGACCATTCATGGAGTGAAACAGCGGACGGAAGACACACACACACACCCCACTTCTGCCTCTATTTGTAACTCTACCTTTCAAATGAATAAATGAATCTTTTAAAAAACAAAACAAAACTCAAAAACACAAGTGACAGGTTGATTATGCACATATAATATATTATACATGAGGTCTACTGATTTCTCATATGGTTAAAATCTAGGAATTCACTCTATTTTAGTGGTTATTCTT